TTCCTACTGTCATGATGTACTCCAGTTTCCTCTATCTCATTACATGGCACATCTTACACTTAGGGAAATTCGGTAATTTAGCGCTAGTACTATTTAGTACTAAAATTTAGTAATAGATGTTAATATACATTATTTACAATATGCAGAAGCAGTAACAAAAACTGATACACAAACCATTGATAACAACATTCATAACAACAATATCAATAAGTTAGATATAAACAAAAAAATATTAAAAATACAATATAAATTTTAAATACAGACAGTTGAAAAAAACTGTGCCAACTGATTACATATACAATGTACACTACATTATGTTCTGTGAACCAAAGATAGTTAGAATAGGTAAAGAAAATGAACTAAATGTCAACATTAAATTAAAATTATCCCTGTGTGGGTTCCAGGGTCCCATTCTAGAGGGAAAAGGTTTAGATCCACCACCCAACTATATTTTATAAAAGCGACTAATAAGAGCTTTGTAGATATCAGATGTGTAAAAGCAGAAAGATGCAGATAACCCCGCCTAGCTGAAAACTATAATATAATGTGCCAACAGCCCCTTTTAGGGTGACAGCAGAAGAGGAAAGAGGCTTTCCGGATGACCTATTGGATGACCGCCCGGCATTTCAACCACTTAGCCAGCCAACCCTCAATTTAATCCTTTGACCCCTGGAACACTAAATAGAAGAAAAAAAAAAGAACATGACCCCATCAGAATCCTAGAAAAACATCAGTTTAAAAAAAATAAATATTTTTTTCCAAACTTTTCTTTTTCTTCTTCTGCCTTTCTAGCCCCAAAAGGAGCATAGGCCCTCAACCAACTCACATCGTCATTCTATCCTTTGCTATCGCATGCAGCTCTTCCCATGTCCTCCTCATCTTTTTAGCTTCATTCTCCAGCTCCCTTCTCCATGTGTTTTTTGGCCTTCCTTTATTCCTATGCCCCTGTGGGTTCCAATGCAAAGACATTAGTTATATTGTTCTCCAATTTTCTCAATGTGTGTGCTAGCTTTCTCGAAAGCTGAAATATTTTGGTCATATCAAGCGCCACGACGGATTGGAAAAAAATTATAGCAGAAGGCATGGTACCAGGAAGGAGGGACAGGGGCCGACCGACACGAAGATGGGCACAGGATATAAGTGACTCCTTGAGTGTGAAAGTGGCAAGAGACCTAGTTTCTTACAGACAGACTGTGATGAGAGCGACATTCTGCAAAGGACCTACATGATGATGATGAGCTGTTGTTTGATAGTTTCACACTGTCTTTTCTTCACCTCTTGGTCCACTAAAGCTTTCTTAGTTCTCTCTCAAAGCTCTACATCAGTGATTCTATCATAGCATTTAATTCCCTCTATTCTGAGCTGACACCAGTTAATGAATGTCTGTACTTTATTAGTAGTTGCCCAAGTTGTTCTCCATGTTTCTGCCGCACACAAAAGTACTGATTTCTCACAGGTCACTAAACAAGGCCACACCCTTAGAATGGATAAATCAAGACTTCCTTACCAAGCCCTCATTTGGACACCACAGGGGAAAGATCTCGTGGAAGACCAAGGGAAACTCTACGTAGAACTATCATCAGGGAAGGCTCGCTCATGGGCCACTCAAACATCCAAGACCTACAACAGATTGCAACGAACCGCCATGCATGGAGAGTCATGACCTCTGCCCTATGTGCCGCACTCGACACAAGAGGAAAGACTAACTAACTAACTAAGCATTTTTACACATAAATTTTTATCTGTATTCTAGTAAGTAAAGGCGGCCGGCGTGATGTTGACCAGATACCCCACTCACCAAGTGACGATTGGTCTCTAATATGTAGGTCCAGTCCTATATACCTGAAGGTGTGGAAAAGGGTCCTTTTCTTTAGTTACTTTATTACATTAGCGCTATACAACTGACAGCCCAAGGGCCAAATCTGCAAGAGACATAGCAAGTAGCCCCTAAATCACTTCTTCTTCTTCTTCTTCACTTCCTCTTTTACCGCTGTGGGTGTCGAGGGAGATATAAGGTTCTGTTTCTAGCTCTTCTGGCTGCCTCGACCATAGGCACATCGTGCTGTTGTAGAGTTTCTCTGATGTTATCCTTCCATCTTGTTCTTGGTCTACCCCGTGCTCTACGTCCTTCTCTTTCCATGTATGCTTTGTATGGTATGGTGTCACAAGGCATTCACGCTAAGTGGGCAAACCATTTCACTTGCTGTAAATCACTGACAGTTGTATTGTAGAAATTACCTTTCTACATTGGGGATCAGGCACAAGACGATCGCTATGTTCAAAATTTTTGGTCCGTATAAATTTAATTACACAGTCCAGATCTACATTTTTTTACAATTTGTTTCAAAATATACAAAGATATAAAAAGGAACAATCAACAAACACAAATAGTGTGAAGCATTAAACGGAATACCACTTCCTGTTCGACAAAAAATGTACCGGGCCACACTCATGCTGCGACTCCATGACCTCTATCGCAGGCTGAAGAGAAACTCTGATGTCAACTTGGCTTTTAAAAAAGTCATTCAGCCCAAAGGACCCATGCTAGTTTATGTATTTATATCCCAGAAGAGTGTGGTCAGCAACAGAAGAGTGTGGCTGACGCAGCACATAGGGTCATTGAGGAAGGAAATGCAAAGACCAAACAATAAATCATCATAACTAAACAAACATGACTGACTTTTGCTCCACTCTGGATGTGTATATACATAAAATACATATGCTCACATACATACACACTGAAACACACATACGTGCATACACATGTTGACATTAAAGATACACAAATGACAGTAAGTGTTCACATAATTTTTTTAAAATATTGGAATGAAAGGAACATTTTTGTCAAATTTTGTGCCAGCTAGACTTCTTTTGTTCACTTGAAATAAATGATCTATATCTGCATCGCTGTCTTTAGTATATACTTCACTGTGTTTTGTAATTCACTTAGCAACCCATATGGTTTGGCTTCCACCAGTGTCTCGTTTGGCCAGAAATTTTGCCGGGAAATGTCAAATTTTGGATAGTCTTGGAGGATGTGATCTGGTGTCTCAGGTGCCAGTTGGCTGATTTGCCAATTACAAATGTTGTGTACATATGGCTGCTATATCAACAGTGAACTGTTGTTCTAAGGAACATAATACCTGCTGGACTGCTATATACCCCTTTTAGTACCCACCTAGCACAGCAGGGTACATACATCAAGGTAACAACTGGTGTAGCAATAGAATGCTAAGCATTACACCCCCTCCCCCAAAAAAACTCCAAAAGGTCAAAATGTGGGACCTGTTCCAATTGGACTGGCATCCCCCCCCCCCCCCCCCTAAAAAAAAGTTGTTCTCTGAGTCACTGTGGTGTCAAACCAGGTAGCAAAATATGAATACACACACACAAATACACTCATTACATCTATGCATACACAGGGGACCGCAGCAGTGTAGTGGCTAGCTGCTAGTCTGCTGAACGGAAGGTCGGGAGTTTGTTCCCTGAAGAAGCCGAACTTTTTTCCTCCAGAAATTACCTTGGCTCCCGGCCTTAAATGGGTACCAGGTGGTTCTTGGAAGTAAAAGAGGTCGGCGTGATGCTGACATCACCCAATACACCTAAAGGTGCAGAAAAAAACACCTTCACTTTAACACAGGCATATACAGGAAACCTCAGCTAATACATGACCTGGCTAGCAATATTTCTGGCTAGTGAGTATATGTCTCAATGTTTCTCGGCTAAGGCTTATGAAATTGGGTTTGGCCAATAAATATTTGAGCGGATGTGTGTGCTAATGGCTAGCAACCACCACCAGGCTTGGAAGAAAGCTGTGAGGAAGAATTTCACTTTGTCTAGACAGTTTCTTCATGCAAAAGCCACATCTATTCTACAAGCTATGGACCAACAGGTGATATCAAAACTTTTGTTGGATACTTCTTCGCATTCAGCGGCTGTAAACTCCTGCAGAAAGTTCTGGTTTTTCGTTCATCTTTGGACTTTTGCTTTGTTCCAGAACCTGAGTGTTTCATGCCCATCCATTTTACAGATTTAGCTTACTTGTATGCAAACTGTTGGTTCCTTGTCTTTCAGGCAGATGAACTCCCGATTTCGAAAAAAGCCCTGTGCTTAGTCGACTCTTACGACATGCTGTTGTTGGGGAGACAGTGGATCTATTCTTGTGATTTTCACAATGGGGCCCTAGAATCCACACGGGTAAGAAGTTGTACACAAAACACACATTCTAAAGATGTTCTCAAGCAAGTTTATTAACGAGTTTTGGTTAACAAATATTTTAGCTGAACTTCTTCTTCTTCGCATTCACCAACTGTGAACTCTGGCGGAAAGGACTGGCTGTTCATCCACTTCTGGACTGCCGTCCTATTCCAGAACCTGAGTGTTGCGTGTGCATCCATTTCACTGGTCTGACACATTTGTATGCAGACTGCTGGTTCCTTGCCTCTCAGTCAGATGCACTCCAACTTCGAAGGAAGCTCCAAATCAGTTGATTTTTAGGACATTCTTTTGGGTAGGCAGTGGGTCTATTCTTGTTTTCCCTATAATAGGGCCCCGGAACCCACACGGGTAATTTCAGCTAATGAATATCGCCATCTTTGTGTTCACCGGCTGTAAACTCAAGTGGAAAGTTCAGGTTGTTCGTTCACTTCTGGATTTTGGTCCTGTTTCAGAACTTGAGTATTGTGTGCTCATCCACTTTACAGATCTGGCTTATTTGTACACAGACTGTTGGTTCCTTGCCTCTCAAGCAGATGCAGTCAAACTTCGAAGGAAGCCCCTAATTAACTGAATCTTACATCATACTTATTGGGGTGGAAGTGGGTCTATTCTGTGTTTATCCATACAGGAACCCCGAAACCTACACTAGCAACACCAACGAATAAGATTCTGCAACAAATTATCTTTGGTTAGCCGAGGTATCACTACGAAAACCCCACATAAACACACTCACAAAGTGTCACAGTATGGCACCACAATTGTTAGGAAAAACTGTTCATCCTCTAAGTAAAAAAACCGGAATCAAATGAGCATTCTTTCACAGTCACTAGAGTGTCTGCTGTACTGACGTCAGTGATAACCAAACTGTCAATAACCGGCTTGAAAAAACTGGGCGGAATCCAATATTTCTTGGATGGCATAATCCTCACTGGTAAATTATTTGATACCGGCTCTTTGCTGGAGTCGTAATCGTCAGACGGAAAATCATAGACACCATTATCTACAGCTGAACCGACAGACATAACACCGGTGCTTTTTGGTGCTGAACAGGCATCTGGCAGTTTGACTTCCTGTTTGGAATTTACCTTACTGTATGTACTGCTTATGGCATTCTCAGTTTTTACTGTATTTTCTTTATCTTTCTTGATATTTTTTCCACTGGTGGATGTTGAGTTTGTAGTTGCAGTAATGTCCCCTACAGGACTCAACTGTTGTGATGAGTGAGACGTACTGGCTGCGGCAGACTTGATTCTGATTTGTCCTTTCTTTGGTCCTGGTTTTCGACCAGTCTTTAGTTTCACCTTGTTCTGATGCAGTTTTGATTTTTCTGTTGGCGGCACGTAACTCGGGTGGGTAGGATTTTTCGGTGGCCGCCCAGGCCCACGTTTGACAGGAAGATGCGAAGTTTTCAGATTTACTGACGTACAAAACTTATCTCTGTCTCCACTTTTCTCCTTCTCTTTGTCTCGATCCAAATGAGGCGGGGCGGCAGACTGAGCATCTTTCTTGTTTCTTGTTGCATCGGCACTGGCTTCACTTGACCCATCCTCATCTTCAGAGTTGTCACTGTTTTCACCATTATCTTCTTCATCTTCTTCAACAGAACCATCGCCGGAGTCCTCTATACTTTCATTCTGTGGAAGATAGGAAAGGAGAGAAAGTTAACATTAACTCTTTCTCTGTATTTTCATCCTGTGGAAGATAGGAAAGGAGAGAAGTTAACATTAACTCTTTCATGCACCAGACAGTTTTTCTTTAACTGCTTATATGTTGAATTAAGAATCAACATCACAGCACTCAGGACATTCCCATAAGCGCTCCATCCCCATCTTCAGCAGCAAAGCAAAGAGTTAAAATTCTGATGGTAACTGTCTGATTGCCAGATTCCCTTGTAACTCCTCGCAGTGCCATTCTCCTCAAACCGTAGTGATCTATTTGTTCCTCTGCACTGTTCACTCGCTCCCAAAGGACCCTCACAACATCCAGTTTCTCATACATACATTCACCACTAGGTGGTGCAGAACTGGCCAGTCTATCTGCCGGCTCATTTCCCAACCCAACCTGGAGAAAATATCCATAGGATGCTAACTACCCGGGACCTCTGAATTGATGCTTATCACTCTGCGCGCAGCATGCCTGTCTCAACCAGCTCTATGAGTCAGTTATGAACTGCTTATATAGTTTCATGTAATGGAATATTTTTCTTTTCTGGTTGCTGAGGTTTTTTCCTCTTTACACTACTTATCCCTATGTAAGCATCTTCTTCTTTGTCCTCTGCGTTCACTGACTGTAAACTCTGGTGGAATGTTCTAGTTGATCGCCTTTTATAGACCAACTGGTACTCAATGGGTGACGTGGTCACATCACACCAGTCGCCTTTACCTCCCAGGACTTTACCTAGTACCCATTTAAGGCTGGGTTGACCTCATAGCCAAAGTCAATATTTTTTTTTAGTCCAGATTCATTCCGATTTATACCCGTTACCTCTGCGTCCGCCGTAACATGAATGCGACTCCTAGTCACACAAGTGTTACACTATAATTTGTTTGAGGCCCCAAGAGATGTAAGCTGTCTGCTTCTATGCTGCCTTCGCTTTGATTGATTATTTCCCTTATTCTGTATTTGTTCCATGTTTTCGATAATAAACTGTGTGGGTTTTTTGTTTTTCTCGAAGTGTAAAAAGTTTTTTTAAGGATTTTCCTCTGGAATTTCCTAACAGCTGAAAGTATAGGAACTTGGCATTGTTTTCTCTAGGTCGAGGGGGTGAAAGCGTTAATTATCCTGTAATTATAGCTCTGGGCATCCATCTGTTTTATTATCATTTGCCAGCTACCCACATAGACCATCATTTGGAAAGCATCCACTCAGCATGGAGTATATACGAGCACTCATCACATACCACAACACCAAGAATAAGAAACACGTCTACAAACATTTAAAATGAAAAATCATTTCACACGGGGAGGGGTCTCCGCTACGAAGTGGTCAAGCCCCCAGCGCCACGCTCTGAAGGTTGTGGGTTTGTTTCACAGTTGTGTCGCTCAGTTCTTGAGTGCAGTTTTTAAGAAGACTCCTGGGGATCAACGCCAGAGCTACAGAATTCGTGCTCTGTGCAATGCTCTTGGCAGAAGAGAGACAGAGTCATGTAGGATACAAACCCAGTGCAATGAAGTCGATCCTCTCGACTATAGCTTTTTAAAAAAAACTTAAATTCATGTTAGCACTACTATCAGTACCAAATCTAGACATTATCAAAAGTTCATCTACATAAAATGTACTGAATCTGGATATTATCAAAGGTTCATCTACATAAAATGTACCAAATCTGGATATTATCAAAGGTTCATCTACATAAAATGTACTGAATCTGGATATTATCAAAAGTTCATCTACATAAAATGTATCGAATCTGGATATCAAAAGTTCATCTACATAAAATGTACCGCATCTGGATATTATCAAAAGTTCATTTACATAAAATGTACCGAATCTGGATATTATCAAAAGTTCATCTACATAAAATGTACCGAATCTGGATATTTTCAAAGGTTCATCTACATAAAATGTACTGAATCTGGATTATTATCAAAGGTTCATCTACATAAAATGTACCTAATCTGGATTTATCAAAGGTTTATCTTCATAAAATTTACAAAATCTGGACATTATCAAAGGTTTATCTTCATAAAATTTAACAAAACTGGACATTATCAAAGGTTTATCTTCATAAAATTTAACAAAACTGGACATTATCAAAGGTTTATCTTCATAAAATTTAACAAAACTGGACATTATCAAAATTTAACAAAACTGGACATTATCAAAGGTTTATCTTCATAAAATTTAACAAAACTGGACATTATCAAAATTTAACAAAACTGGACATTATCAAAGGTTCATCTATATAAATAGCCACCTGCACTAGCCTCGTAATTACAATAAATGCCAAAAGCGGAAGTTAACGACGATGTCTTCTTCAACATTCCGTCCGAGCCCTTGAGGTTCATTGCTGCAGGTTCACGCGCTTCTACTCATCTCTCTGGTTGGCCTTCTTCTTCAACATTCCGTCCGAGTCCATGAGGTTCATTGCTGCAGGTATCACACGCCTCAACTCATCTCTCTGGCTGGCCTTCTTCTTCAGCATTCCGTCCGAGCCCATGAGGTTTATTGCTGCAGGTATCACATGCCTCCACTCATCTCTCTGGCTGGCCTTCTTCTTCAGCATTCCGTCCGAGCCCATGAGGTTCATTGCTGCAGGTATCACACGCCTCCACTCATCTCTCTGGTTGGCCTTCTCTTTCCATTTGGTTACACCAAGTGTGTTTAGACATGATCTCTGCATCGTCTTCTTGGTCAGCCTAGTGGTCTAGGACCATCATCTCCCTTGTGTATACAGTATTTACTTTTCTGTCATCTGACATTCTCTCAATATGCCCCAGCCATTTCAATCTATTAGCTCTCTTGATGCCAGTGATCAATGGTGATTTAAACAGATTATGAATTTTGTTGTTTGTAAACAGACGATGATGTACGTTTATGGCCACATTTATTTTTAGTTTTTATACAGGTTATTATTATTTTGCTGAATTGTTTTGTTGACAGCACCCTGCTGTCTTTTGAGAAGCAAAAGTGTCAATGTGTCACAGGTATGGGAATTGCAGCCCATGGTAAACACTGATTAAGTCCAGAGACGAAATTCCTTTTTCTTCTTCTTTCTATTTCTTTCTTCCCCGAAAAAGATTTTCAATATCTGCAATGTTGTCTCTATTATGAACTTCAGTCTTCTGTAATCCACACCCCCCCCCCCCCCCACCCCCTCCACTCACGGCTTTTGTGCAATGTAGGATGTCATGCTTGGTAAATGCAATCCTACAATCAGCGTTAATAAAGAAAAGATAGCATTACTACTTCTTGGCATTTACCTGCTGTCAACTCAGAATGTTCTGGTTGTTTATCTACTTCTAGACTTTGGTCATGTTCCAGAACTTTTGAATGCACATCTATTTCACATACCTGGTTTAAATGTTCGTTCTTCAATTCTCAGGCAGATGCACCCTACTTTTAAAGCAAACATCCCTAATAAGCTACCTTTTGTGACATACTTTTCAGAGGGGTAGTGGTTCTATTCTTTGTGCCCTTACAATAGGGCCCTGAGACCCACAGGGGGAAGATAGTCCCAACTACTCTTAGACCTGATACTAAGTATGTATACATCTTTTTAATGGATTATATTTAGAAGAATATTTTTTGCATATTACCTGTACCCTTGCTTTCTTTGCCTTTGGTCCCCGCTTACTCCCTCCGCTAGTTTCTCTCCTGAAACAAACACCATATATACACAATACTGTATTTATAGTTAGAAGCCTCAAACAGGGCACCACAGAGAGCAATGTTATACAGATACAACAGTAACAGAGCCAGAGGTCAACCAGGCAAAATATGGACCCCAGAAATACCATAAACTCTGAAAAGTACTACAAACAAAGCGAATAGAAGGGTCCATCCCAGAGATCTCTTCCCGCCTTGACACTACGAAGCATTTCAGAAGCAGAAGAAAGAAGAAGAAGAAACACAGATCTCTGTTTCCCAATTAGTGCCCTTTGAAACCCTGGAACAAATTTAAGGACTAATATTATTTACAAATAAACCCTCAAATTCAGAATGTATTTTTTTGGGTGATATCCTGGTTATAATAGTTTTTTAAATAAAATGTTTAAAAACAAAGGACCACAGAAATATCAGAGACACTGAAAGGTACTTCATACAAAGTCAACAGAAGGGCCCGTTTCAGAGATCTCTTCCTGCTCTGACACTGCGAAGCATTTCAGGAGCAGCCACTGTAGTGAGGTGTCCAGACCTCTGTCCCAACAGAAGCTCCTGGATGCAAAATCTGGAGTCAAAATAAATATTTCAAAACTGATCCTGGCTTTCTGGTTGACCAAGCCTAAAATGGGTGCCAGGTAATGTCATGGAAAGTAAAGGCAGCCAGCATTATGTTCAGCATATCAACCATCTAGTGCGGATTTATCTGAAAATGAGTTTAGCATCATATGCCCAATGCAGTACTGATATATATATTTTTTAAAGTCATCTACTTTACAGTAGATATATTATGTAGTATATGTCTACTTCTTCGCATTCACCAGCTGTAAACTCCGGTGGAAAGTTCTGGTTGTTTGTCCACTTCTGGACTGCAGTCCTGTTCCAGAACTTGAGTGCTGCATGTGCATCAGTTTTACAGATCTGACTCATTTGTATGCAGACTGCTGGTTCCTTGCCTCTCAAGCAGATACACTTCAACTTGCTCAAAGAAAGCTCTCCAATTAGTTGACTCTTACAACATGCTTTTGGGTAGGCACCAGCAAATGGGACCCCGGAGCCCACACGGGGTCAAAGGAAATTAAAGCTCATTAATAAAAATTACAGATGTATGGCCACTGCGGTGTAGCAGTTGGACACTCGCCTGCAGACCTGAATGATCATGGATTCAAATCCTCACAAAGTCAAATTTTTCTTTTTTTCATTTTTTCAGACATGATCTTGGCTCCCAGGTCGACCCATCTTTAAATGGGCTCCAGGTAAAAATCCTGGGAAGTAAAGAAGCTGGCATGATGCTGACCACATTCTGGTCTATTTCATCTATAAAAAATGTCTATCCTCATATGGCTGATGAGCCACTGGTGTGTAAAAGGACCTTTACTCTACTGTTGTATGAATCGGAAACATGGAGAACTACAACAATTATTGGTGCTTTATTAGCATCTTACTCCAAACAGGAGAAATCCACAGGTTACGGGACGGTCAAATATTTCAGGAGGTGGTAGATAGGCTGCACTCTCTCGTAGGTGGGTTGGGGTCAGTTCTGGATGTTTTAGGGTCGTTAAAAGCATAAGTAAGCCGGGTAGCCCGGTCTTACCATCCTCTAAAATGTTGGACTGTTTTGTGACCTCATCTGGGGTGGGATATTAATAAAGCACCCAATTATTAATAAACCCTCCACCATCACGCTAGAAGTTGTTAAACTTATTACCCGACTGTCTGTCTTTACTGTCCTCCCATTCACCTGTGCTGTATAAGCCTACCCAGACCATACCTCACCAATCACTGAGCCATCTGTAAAGATGGTGCTGTCAACTGGTTGAGTGTGCTCACAGAAGAGGGTCTTTATTTCAACACCTTTGATTTCAATTACCAATGAAGGCCTTGTGAATCCTTTAGGTAATTCACAGTACTGGTGTCTGAAGATAAAAACCTCAACTTCAGGGTCTCCGCAGCAAAGTGATCAAGCCATCCGTCTCGTGGGTTCGTTTCATGGCTGCGCCATTAAGTTCACGAGTGCAATTTTTATGGAGATCCCTGCGAGTCGTCGCCAGAGATTTGGAGTTTGTGCTCTGTGTGATGCTCTCAGCGCTAGAGCCATTCTGCGGAGAGAGACCGAGCCATAGGGATAAAACCCAATGCTATGAAGTAGATTCTCTCAACTTTAACTTAATCTTTAAAAACTGTAACTAAATAAACATCTTACTTGAACTGTTCGATCAGCCGACGATCTAGAATATTCTCTTCGGGCTCCCATGTATTGTATCTGTGCAAAGAAAAATTTTCAAATCTCTCAAAACTGACTACAACAGTTTAATTTGCCAAGAAAATAACTAAATAAAATATAATGGTCGACAACAGCCCCACGAGTAAGACAACATAAGACTTGAATTAAGGCATCAGGATGCCTGCAACAATCTCCCATGATCGCTAAGCCACGATCACCCCTTGTGTGCATCATGCAGGGCTGCCACTGGGGGGCAGTATTGGTATTCCTTGGGTGCATGTAGTAGTAAACTTTTTTGATATAACTGGGCTATTCAATTAGGTTTACTGGGAAGGAGGGGGGGGGGGGGCCAATTTTTAAAATAGAGCATCCGTTTGACAGATCTGACACATTTGTGAGCAGACTGTTGGTTCCTTGCTTCTCAGGCAGATACACTCCAACTTCGAAGGACGCTCCTAATGCTTTTTGGGTAGGCAGTGGGTCTATTCTTATTTTCCCTATAATAGGGCCCTGGAACCCACACGGGGGTGTAATAGATCAACCACACAAGGCTTCTGATTGGACAAACAGTCCTTTAAATCAAATATTTCTGCCTCTTTGCGTTCCCCGGCTGTAAAGTCCAGGCTGTTCATCCACTTCTGTACTTTAGTATCAAGTTTTAAGAACTTAAGTTATGTGTGCATCTCCGTTGAACAGATCTGGCTTATTTGTATGCAAGCTGTTGGTTCCTTCCCTCACAGGCAGATGTACTCTCACTCCAAAGAAAAACCCCAATCTAAAATTATTAAACTTTTACAACATGTTTGTTAGTGAGGCAATGGGACCAGTGGTTCCCCCCCCCCCTCCCAAATAAATTGGGGCCCCTGAACCGACACAAGGACTATAGGTTAGTTGCGTATCCTTTATAGGACGTTGCAGAACCAACCCCAGCAGCCCCTGGCTGTTGTGTGGTTTCTCTAGGCAAATTTATGCCCAGTAGTTTGCCATTGCTTTCTGGATGGTCAGTCCCCTGATACCATAGTCGAAACCAACGCAAGGGGCATGGCCCGCATCTGGAATCGAAGCCGGCACCCCAGCATTACGAAGTTTTCTCAACAACTTAGCCACAGAGCCGACTACACAAGGACTATAGGCACCTAATTAAATCTACTTTTCTAGTTGGTGTCATGGTGGTCGTAATCATGTCTGTCTGCATTACTGGCACCTTCAGATTTGAGAAAATCTGACTATAGTTCAGTCACACAGCTACCGCATTTGCTGCATGGTTAATGCCTCCACTGATAAAGACAGACTGTATAGATCACAGGATATGGACACTGTCTTCAGAAAACAAGGAAAATAGTCACGACAGAAATGAAATGTTTACGTACTATGCTAGGTGTAACGAGGAAAGGTTGACTAAGGAACTATAAAATCACGAGGGGAGTGAGCAAAGAATGAATATTGAACTTTATCGGTAGACAACAGATCAAATGGTTTGGTCATGTAACAAGATTGGCACCACAGATAGCAATGATATACAGATACAGCGGTAACAGAACCAGAGGTCGACCACCCAGAATATGGAAAACAGAAATATCCGAAACACTCAAAAGTACTACAAACAAAGTGACAAGAAGGGCCCATCAGAGAGATCTCTTCCTGCCTTGACACTGCGAAGCATTTCAGGAGCAGAAGAAAGAAGAAGAAACAGATCACTGTTTCCCAGCAGGTGCCCTGCGGAACCCTGCAACAAATTTAATAAACCCTCAAATTCAGAATGTAATTTTTTTTGGGGGTGATTTTTAAAAAAAAGCAATTGACCTTTTTCCAAGCCTTTAGACTTTTTGGGTATATAAAGCTAGACCTATATTTTATAGACCAATTAGCATGCTGGCTGCCTTTACTTCCTATGATGTTACGTGGTATCCAGTTAAGGCTGAGCCGACCCGGAAGCCAATATCAATTCTGAAAAAAAAATATGGCTCCATCAGGATACCGAGGCATGATCTTCGGATCGGCAGGCCTGCGTCCAGCCACTACACCCCAGTGGCTCCTAGGTACTTTAGTGTGACTTTAACAGTATAATTTTCATCCTCTGAGATGTTGCCTTTTGTAAGCGGTTCTTTATTTAATTTCTGTGATGTTTAAAAAAAATACTGACTCTCTTGAAGCAGCTTGAAAAATGGGACTAGTTATCAGCTGAGATAAATACATGATAATAACAAGACAAAAACTAGGGCAATAATTAATGAACTGCAGACATTCATTAACTCGTGCCTGCGCAGAATAGAGGGAATTCAATAGTATGATAGAATCACTAATGTATTGCTTTGGGAGAGAACTAAGCAAGCTCCAGTGGACCAAGAGGTCAAGAAAAGATGCTGGTGTTGAATAGGACACACATTGAGAAAACCAGAGAACAAAATAACTAGAATGTCTTTGCAGTGAAACCCACAGGGACATAGGAATAAAGGAAGGCCAAAAAACACACAGAGAAGGAAGCTGGAGAATAAAGTTAGAAAGATAGGGAGGACACGGAGAGAGCTGCATGCAATAGCAAAGGATACGACGACTTGGCGTGAGTTGGTAGAGGGCCTTTGCTCTATTGGGGGCTAAAAAGGCAGAAGAAGAACAAGACAGGGAAGGAGTGCTGATTCCGGCCACACAAAAATCGATAATACGAAAATCGAATAAACGGAAACATATAAGTAACTGGGTGCAGACTTTAACTGCCACAACAAGCTGAGAGAAGAAATACATTTTAGAATACAATCTGGAAATAAAGTATAGTATGCCCTACAACCACAGCGTCTGTGGCTAAGGTGCTGTACACGCGCTTTGAAATGCCAGGGTCCCGGGTTCTATCCCAGCTGCAGGCCTTGCGTTGGGTTTAACCGTGGTATCGAGTAGCCGACCGCCCAGAAAGCAATTGCAAACTACTGGATGTAAATTTGCCTAGAAAAACCACAACAGCATATGCCCATGTTGGTTCTGCAACGTCCTGTAAGGGATACGCAACTAACCTTCCCTACAACAGGGCTATTCAACTGGCGGCCTAGTTTTGGCATGCGAAGGCCTAGCAAATGACCTGTGGATCACTGCCAGCTGTATTTCATTAATGATATTTCTAGGCTGGGGTGTCTGGCCTGTGACGATCCCATTTTCAAAATTTTGGTCCCTAAAAAAACTATCTGAAGCCCATATACGCAAAATCACCACCTGTGAGATGAGATTCCTGAGAAAAGCAGCCAACCTAATCATCCAAGATTGAGTGAATAATGAAACTATCAGACAAATTGTGGGAACGACACCTTGTACTAGATTCACCGAGAAACAGCAGATCAAGTGGATTGGCCATCTCATATGAATGCAGCAAGATCAAATACCATCACAAGCACTACATCTCAGATCAGCTGCAAGAGCAAGAGGACGGCCACAGAAAACTTGGATCGACAACATTAAAGACACTCTATCCTTCACGGCATGACAATAGTCAGTGGCAGCCAATGTGCACTGGATCGCAAATTATTCCTTCCTCACGACGCTTAGCACTTATGTTGATGATACAGAAAACTAAACAGAAGGTTGTGGATAGACATCACTACCAACGCCACACGTCATGGACTCAAAGAAGAAGAAGAAAAAGTAAACTAACCTGAATAGCTTTGACCTATAAGATTTGCTAAAATCAGTCTTTATTTTCAGAACATTAAGATAAACAAATATATGATATGCAGATAAGACCTGTTGTTGTTTATGGCTCTAAAACTTGGCGCACAACAAAAAGAGATAAAGCCTTATTATTAATTTTTTTCCCACAAATCTTTGGACCCATCAAAGATGTGAACAGCAGGGAATGTTGAGTGAGAAGCAACAATGAAATATTTAATCTTTTTGGTACAATATTTTTTACGTACCCCTGACGTCACAATGACGTCACAGGAGACATACCCAATAAATTCTAGGGTGTTCAAGTTGTAGTTTCTCGCGGTTTCTCTACATCCAAGTTGTTCACATCGCAAAAGCGCGCTCTTGCAAAGCGTGCGCTTTACTATGACGTGCGGTGTTGCCACTTCGGATGTTTTACATCCACATTTAAATATTTTTCCTTCCATTTAGATGTCTTAAAATTATAGAACCATCTTTTTAAGTCAACATTAATCACTGGTTTTATGAGGGCTAAAAGACAAAATGGCTGGGGCATACTGAGAGTGTCATATGACAGGGGAAACAACTATGTACAAAAAAGAGCTGAATTGCTCACGAAGAAGACATTGGAAAGAATATATCCAGACAGACATGCAAACACTTAGTGTCAACAAAAGGAAAGAGAAGGCCAACCAGAGAGATGAGTGGAGGCGGTTGATATCTGCAGCAATGAACCTTAAGGGCTCGGAATGCTAAAGAAAAAGGCCAACCAGATAGATGAATGAAGGCGGGTGATATCTGCAGCAATAAACCTCAAGCTCAAAGGCCTGAATGATAAAGAAGAAGGCTAACCACAGAGATGAATGAAGGCGGGTGATATCTGCAGTATTGAACCACAAGGGCTTGGAATGCTGAAGAAGGAGATGTGAATGCATCTTAATTACTGTCTAAAAGACAAATACAATGCGGGTCTTGCTAGTCACACTTGCCATCACCATGGGCTGTGAGTCTCATGCCTCCCCATAGCGCAATATAACACTATCGTCTGGAAAGACAGAAAGGTGGCAATCAATCAATCATAAGACAAATATGGTGCCAATCAATCAATCAAAAACCACATGTACACAAAATTCAAGATAGGCGTATCAGCCATGTGCACCTGTGGAAATGTGCCCCAGACAGAGCATGTACTTCAGGACTGCACCAATTTTGACACATTATGGCAAACCTTTTGGCCAGAAAGAACAACAGTGGAACGTAAACTCTATGGACCACTGAATGAACTAACAACGACAGTGAAATTTATACAAGAGTCAAAACAGCTGAAATAGACAACTTATTTCAGGCGAACGAAAGAAGAAGAAGAAGAAATCAATCAAAAGACAAAAACAGAAGTAGAACATGACAAGCTATATATTTATACTACAAATGTTCAATAACTGTGCAGATAAGAGCAAGACAGTACGTACCAAGACAGTGTGTAAGAATCATTCATGTGAAAATGGGAGGGAAAAAAGATAAATTTTAGCGAAATAAGATGGGGGGGGGGGGGGGGTTTGCTCGCACACTATCATTATCCTGAATTAATCAAGTAACAGAAAGTATTGTGAACGGCACTCATAGAAAGAAGTAGAAAGATAGAAGAACACACTAGACAACATAAAAATCGAAAGCTATAGTTACCGTGCCGGGAATTGAACCTGTCACCTCCAGACGGCGTCTGCGCCTCGCCATGAATACAAGTGCACTAAGATACATGGTCAACTCGGCACCCCCAAAAAAAGGTGTCTCATTGGCCATGTCTATCGTACAGCCTGAAATCCACGACTATGGAATACGGACAGAATTCATTTCAACCCATTGAAATGGCACCATAGGTTACAGAAATTTATATTAACGAGGCAAATGGAGGTGACAGGTTCAATTCCCGGCACGGTAACTATAGCTTTCGATTTTTATGTTGTCTAGTGTGTTCTTCTATCTTTCTACTTCTTTCTATGAGTGCCGTTCACAATACTTTCTGTTACTTGATTAATTCATAATATTTAACGGCTTCAAATGGTTCCCCCCTCTGTTTATTTATAGGAATATCATTATCCTGTAACACTACGTGTTGTTGGGTCACTAGTTTTTGTTGACTGATCAGCTCTCTCCACCTTTGGCGGTCAGTTGCGATGGACTTCCTAGTTGCATGCCTGAGGCCTGTCCAGTCAGTCAGGTTCTGTAACCATGTTTTTCTTGGTCTGCCTCTTCTCCTCTTTCCCTCTACTGAGCCCTGCAGTATTGTTTTTGAAATGCGTTAGATCTTATCACATGCCCATACCATTCCATTTTTCTCTTTTTACTGTAGTTAAAAGAGATTGATAGTTGCCAATGTGCTGTATAATATAAGGTAAACGTCTTTGTAATGTGGTCCCTGTATGATATACCAAGAATTTTTCTGAAGCATCATATTTCTAATGTGTGTATCTTTCTTTCAATTTCGCCTGTTAAGGTCAATGTTTCACAATCATATGTAAATGTACTAATAGCTAGTGCTCTGAGCAATCAAATCTTAGTTTTGCATGGCACACAATATGACACTGTGAAATAATGCTAGAAAATGTTGAAATCCTTTTCTCCAGAAAATGCAGGGCAATTGCAATAATATTTACAAAACAAGAATTTTAGATGTGTTTTTGCATTAAAATTGGTGATAAGCCGCGACTGGTGTGTTGTATTGTGATTCAAAGGCTGTGATATCTGCACTTGTGTGCCTTACATGTCCAATTTCAACAAGTCATTTTTATTTTTTTATTTTATGAGTTGCATGTCAAGCAGCAGTAGGTTTTTTCTGTTTTTTATCTTCTAACATGTGGCCTCAGATCATACTGAAAGGAGAATAATTTACAGACAGAAATAAATATGGGGAAAGATACTAAAAGAGCTGATGGGAGTAGTGAAAGGTAAAATGTACATTGTAACAATTCAAATTCTCAACAAGAAAACATTGCGTTTGTATACAACATTATAACAAGTAAATCAGTAAACAGAAACACAAATGTTATGTGCGAACAAAGCGACTTACTTGATCGACCACCCTTTCCATTTTACCAAATATTCCACTTTTCCCTTTAATGAAACAAAATCAATATTTAGTATATGTATACTTTGAAATTTGTTTAAAATACAGTAAAACATTGTTAAAACAAATGTGCTTAAGACAAACACTTAGTTAACATAAACACAATTTTGTTTCCATTAACAAAGTAAAAAGTGAAGATTCTTTTTCACACCTTAGGTGCATCGGGCACATAGGAAAAGCACCAATTTTTTTAGACCATTCGGCACGCTGTGGGTAATGTAGTTTGCATTATGCTGGCCGTCTTTACTTCCGCAGGACATACATACATTTATTACTCTCCCAGTAAGCACACATTTTATTTTTAACACAAATTCTTGCTTTTTCGACGCTGCCAAAGCAAGAACCAGTAGAAACATTTTAAATTATTTTACCTTTTTTTTAATCAAAAAGTAATTTACATCAAATTATTATTTACACACAACAAACACAATTTTTGACGAACACTAATAACTGGCATCAAAGTAAAACCCCTAAATAAAATGTTAAGAAACAGTTGAAACCCTGTCAAACAGTTTGACCCTGTGTGGGTACTCGGGCCCTATTTAGACCCACTGCCTATCCACAAGCATGTCATAAGAGTCGACTAATTGGTGACAGGTTGGTGTTGCATTCTTTATCATCATTCAAAAGCTATCAAACTTTGAAGCAGTTTTTAAAAAAAAGAACTGATCTTTACTAAATTTTGTTAAAAAAAAAAAATTATAAATTTAATCAAAATGTGGCTTTCCTCTGAATAATGGTCATTAATTATCAAGGCCAAAAATATACCCTAACAGGGCCTCAGTCACATGTAAATTGAGGACTTTCATCGACTACTGCCACCTCTGAGAATATTTCCCACGCCGCACATAGCGGCGTGGAGCAGGGCTAAACTAGATGGTGGGGACTCATAAGCAGCAGCTACCGCATCTCCTGCAGCTTCCTTCATTTTATTTGTTTTTGAGTCCCAGCCATCTAGTTTAGCCCCGCCGCGCGTAGCGGCATGGGAGATACTCTTGGCGGTGGTGGTAGTCACTGGAAGTAAGCAATTTAGGCTATCCTCCGACTAACGGTCGGCAAAGATGGCGGCGGAAAAAATATCCTTTCGAGCCAGAGTCGCGTGACTTAATCTGCGGTTCTCCGGCGACTATCGTAACCACCACCATATCCCCCATGCCGCTCACATGGCATGAAATGGGGCTTAACTAGATGGCTAGGACCCACGAGCAGCAGCTGCGGTGTGCTCGTGACCGCTAGTGCGCAATTGACACGCGACTTTGGCTCGAAAGGATATTTTGTGGCTGCCATCTTTGCCGACCGTTGGTCGGAGAATAGCCGCAATTTACATGTGAATGAAGCCTTGTTTGGGGTATATTTTCGGCCTGGATAATTTGGGACCGTTATTCAGAGGATAGCCCAGAATTTTATTTTTTTAATTTACTTAATAATATTATTTTTTACTGACTTAACTGAAATTGATTAAATATTTTATTGATTCAAAGATTGTCTTCCTACAGCGACTACGGTGTTAGAAAATTTGTGATCTTTTGGTAATTTCCATTACCATGGAAACCATTTGAAACTTGTTTGGGAAATGTTGGCTGGGGTTTTGGGATGGGTCCTAATCTCTCATGAAATGTTGCGATTGGTGTGATTTTCACTAGCTATAAATAGCTGAAAACGGCGGGAACGAACCCGATTAACAGCGCATGTCTACGACAGCCGGACGTCCTCTGTTTTTCTGTGTATACAATTTCTTTCTTATCAGTGGTTATTTAGACTTACAGTGACATTTTTTAGGCAATTGCTTTTATGTGGCTGTGTTGTCTGAAAAAAATTGTCTGCCATCTTGCCCAATGTAAACAAAGCCAAAACGATAAGTGCGCAGTTTAGCTGCGCAAACTTCTTGTTTCTGGGACACAAGTTTTAGCAGCTGTTTTTTTTTTAATATCTCATCTCCACAAAAACCTACATATCTCAGCTCAGAAATTACATACAAGCCTAAATGAGGTACCGTTGGAAAGAGATTGTTTACAGCTATCTAACTGTGCTGGTTTTATTGGTGTTGAGGGCATTTTAAAAATTTGAATAAAGTACCTAGTCCTAAACTTCCTTTCCTTGCCAAACAAAATGTATTTATTTATAATTAAATTATTAGCTATTTCTATATTAACAAAGGCTCAAATTTACAGCTGTCACAAAGGACAAACAAAACACTACCACATATAAAAAAAAAAACACCCGAACAACACGTTTGGAGAGGAATTACTTTGCGAACTCGACGTTTTTGAATACACTCGGCTGCGAAGACTCTTTCCCCCATCTTGGATAACTCCATACACTGCCACCGGTACTGCCAGGGACTTGCTGCGAAACGGTTCAAATATGATTTTGACTACGGTTTCGTTTGCTGGTCGTCCTGACATCAATTTAGTTTAAAGATAAATTCGACTATAATAAATCAAAATGTAGTGGTAGTAGTAGTAGTAGTAGTAGTAGTAGTAGTAGTAGTAGTAGTAGTAGTAGTAGTAGTAGTAGTAGTAGTAGTAGTAGTAGTAGTAGTAGTAGTAGTAGTAGTAGAAGAAGCAGCAGCAGCAGTAGTAGAAGTAGTAGCAGCAGCAATAGTAGTAATAGACGCTAGGTACGGTCACTGTTTGGAGACTGAAAGGATATAGTTCTGACGTCAAGCTTCTGAGTTAAGTGCATGGCGTGACACTCTGAGCTGTGAATTTCATTTGGAATGTTTTTCGAATGTGACCAACGTGGTGGTGGGAATTGTAGATTCAGAAAATGGCGTGATGTCTGTTGTCGCAATGTTGGTGGTGCCATAATGCGATTAACATTGAACTGCTGACTAACTGCATTTCCAATGTCGGAATGTTTGTGTTAGCACTTCGGATGGCTACTGTGTGCTTTGAATGCGTGTGTCTGCTAGTGCATATGCTGAGACGGCAGTCTGTCAATCTCTCCACAAGGGACTGTGATAAACATTCTGTCTTAGCTGCAGGAGTTGCTGAAGCTGCTGCTCGTGAGTCCCAGCCATCTAGTTTAGCCCCAATCCACGCAGCGTGGGGGACCCCTGGCGGTGGCAGTAGTCGCCGGAAAACCGCAAATTAAGTCGCCGATAGTGCGCAATTGACACGTGACTGAGGCTCTGTAAGGGTGTTTTTGCGGCCGCCATCTTTTGTGCCCGTTATTCGGAGGATAGCTGCCATAATTCATATTTTTATTAACCGTGATGACATCAAGAAAACATTGATCACGCTGTTAGTTCAGTGCCTACGCCCACTCAGCCTTGTAAAATTTCTAACGGGGGGGGGGGGGGGGGGGGGGTAAAGGTTGAGGGCCTAATTATAATTGAAGTGCATAGTAATAATAATAATAAAAATAATTTGTTAAAGGGTAAATGAATTTAATAATATATCTTAAATAATTCAGAATGCATAAAAAATTTTTAAGAGAATTTATATATGTTGATAAAGATGCATCTTACACATTGGGGAAGGGAGAGGGGGTGGCCTAAAATCATTCCCCAATAAAAATGAAGTGGGTGGGGGGGGGGGGCCTCACATGACCCGAGCTCCAAGTTTCTGGCACCTATACTGTTGACCATATATTTTGTCATCAAATGTTTACACCCTACGTAATATTTTTAACTTGTGCATTCTGTTATTCCTTCGATCTTCCTCTTCTTCTTCTTCTTCTTCTTCTTCTTCTTCTTCTTCTTCTTCTTCTTCTTCTTCTTCTTCTTCTTCTTTTTCTTCTTCTTCTTCTTCTTCTTCTTCTTCTTCTTCTTCTTCTTCTTCTTCTTCTTTTTCTTCTTCTTCTTCTTCTTCTTCTTCTTCTTCTTCTTCTTCTTCTTCTTCTTCTTCTTCTTCTTCTTTCTTTTCTTCTTCTTCTTCTTCTTCTTCTTCTTCTTCTTCTTCTTTTCTTCTTCTTCTTCTTCTTCTTCTTTTTCAGAATTCCAAGCCCTTGAGGTTCATTGCTGCAGATATCACACGCCTCCATTCATCTCCCTGGTTGACCTTCTCTTTCCGCTTGGTGACACCAAGTGCTTGCCTGTCTGTCTGGACATCATCTCTCTATTGTCTTCTTGGTCTGCCTCGTGGTCTACGACCATTCATCTCCCTTGTGTATACAGTTTTTACTTCTCTGTCATCAGACATTCTCTCAATTTGTCCCAACCATTTCAATCTATTAGCTCTCATGATGCCAGTAATTAATGGTGATTTAAACAGATTATGAATTTCGTTGTTGCTTCTCACTCTCCATTCCCCACTGTTGGCATCTTTGATGGGTCTAAAGATTCGTCGTAAGACTCTGTTTTCGAAAACCTGTAATAAGACTTTATCTCTTTTAGTTGTGCACCAAGTTTCAGAGCCATATTTTATATAACAGTGCTACAACTGGTCTTATCAACATTTTATATATTTTGATCTTTGTGTTGCGAGACAGATACTTTGACTTTAGCAGATGTTGTTATTCCTTTAAAATACAAAGACAGAAATTGTGACACGCATTGGCAAGGCATAACCATATTTCAATATCTTACTAGTACTACTGCTACTGCTGCTGATGCTGCTACCTCTTCTACTACCTCTACTACTACATCTACTACTACTGCTGTTGCTGCTACTACCTCTACTACTACCTCTACTACTAACTCTTCTACCAACCCTACTACTAAATCTACTACTAAATCTACTACTACTACTACTACTACTACTACTACTACTACTACTACTACTACTACTACTACTACTACTACTACTACTACTACTACTACTACTACTACTACTACTACTACTGCTGCTGCTGCTGCTGCTGCTGCTGCTGCTGCTGTTCCTGCTAGTACCTCTACTACTACCTCTACTACTACTACTACTACAACTACTACTACTACTACTACTACTACTACTACTACTACTACTACTACTACTACTATTACTACTACTACTACTACCTCTACTACTACTACTGCTACTACTACTACCGCTGCTGCTGCTACCTCTACTACTATCTCTTCTACTACTACTACTACTACTACTACTACTACTACTACTACTACTACTACTACTACTACTACTACTACTACTACTACTACTACTACTACTACTACTACTACTACTACTACTACTACTACTACTACTGCTGCTGCTGCTGCTGCTACTACTACTACTACTGCTGTTTCTACAACCACCGCTACTACTGCTACTGCTACTACTACTGCTGCTACTACTGCTGCTGCTACTGCTGCTACTTCTACTGCCGCTGCTGTTGCTACTACTACTTCTACTACTACTACTACTACAACTGCTGTAACTACTACTACGACTACTACCGCCCCCCTATGGACGCCAGCCTTTAAACATTGCACAGCGACATCTGTACGCCATTTTTTAAAAAAAGGGTTAACCTCTCTTATTATCTTTTCTTTCATTTCAGCGAAGTACATGCAGACATTTTTTGTTTTCAATTTTTAATAATTAAAAAAAAAAAAAAAAAACACAGCTGCTTTTATTCACACCAGCGTCATTGATTAAACACGAAGTAAATATACGGCTGTTAAAGTTACCTTTTCTGTTTGTTTTTAAACTTCATTTCGTGGTTTGTTAATCATCATCTGGTGCCTTTCCAGACGGAGAAAGCCAGCATCATAGGTCAGGATCTTTGAACGCAAAACTCGAAGTTTTGGAATCAAAGTGAAGTCCAGAAGTTGACGAAGAACCAGGTGGAACGGAAGGGAGGAATAGACTGTGTGTCCTGTGTAAGATATAATTGTACAACAGGGCAATGATGATGGTGGTAGCGGTGATGATGATGATGACGATGATAATTATGATAAGGATGTAGCTTAGGGATAATGAAATAATATTAACCATTCCGAAATGTCGGGTTCGATTTGCGAGCTATTTGTGAACAGATCGCTTCGCAATGATTTCGACAACGGTGCGAGCGTGAAACCGTTTAGATGCAATGGCAAACTACTGAAAATCAAACTGCCATATAAAACCAGACAGAGACAAACAATTTTTGCAGCTGGTTTTCACGTTCCTAATTAAGCCAGCAAAGTAAACCGAGTCAGTAAATTCTGGTGGTAAGTACGTAGTCCAATTCCAATTCCAGTTGTCCAACAAAAATTCCAAACTTGATCCTTTTTCAGCTGCCCGGAGGCCTGCTATATGAAGGAGGGTTCCTTGGCTGTCTTATTTGGTTTCCTTTTAGTTGTGGTGTGTAGTCACGCCTGATATCCCGGTTCTTGGCTTCCTTGGTACGGTGTGGTGCTTGTGGTTTTTGGGTCTGGTCTGGTCCAGTTCTCTTAGTGCTGATACCTGTGGGTTTTAGCTGATTGTAGACTGCTAGTTCGACTTATATCTGCCTCTCAGGTTTTTGCACTCCGACTTTGAAAGAAATCCCTAATCAGACGACTCTTACGACATGCTTAGTATGGAGGCAGTGGATCTACTCTTCTTTACACACACAATGGGGCACAGGAACCCTCACATTAGAAAAATGACAATTGAATATAATATTTAAAGCAATATGAAATGTATAGACACGTAGTTTAAAAGATAATTTCTATACGTATGTAAAAAGGTAAAATCGGGAGATGAGAACCAGCGTTTTGGCACACGGTTATAAACCATAAGGGCTCTACCACTAGTACGGACAGCTGATAAGAAGCTGTCCGCCTGTGTCGCCGTCCGCACCTAACTCCGTAGCTACAGCGACGTTCCTCCATTTACCCCAGAGTGTCAACTCTGGTACCCATTTCCTAGAGGCCGGGTGAACTACGAGAAACGCCCGGTTTTGAACACCGGCCCTGGGCTGCAGTGAGTTGCAGCTGGATTTGAAAGCGAGTATCCTATCGACTGCGCTAACGTGGCATGGGTTTAGGGCTATATGCTCAGGTTAACTGTTAAACATTTCGAACGTAGGAGGGGGTGGGGGTGTACGGAGTGGGCAATGGCCTGTTGATTAAGCCCGCAGGTTTCTGCGATTCCAAAACAGGTAAATATTTCATATGCCATTGGCAGCGGAAAGCCCAGTCTTCATTAAATGATCATCACCAATAATATCGTGAAAAATGGTGACCTACATAACTGTGAACAAATTCTTCAACGTCGCGTCCTGTGACTTGGAATCACAACGCACTCACCAGACTTTCACGTTTACAGACAATGATGTGCACTTTATCTACAGCATCGTGGTTGTCTTATCAAAATCCTAGTAAGTCACAAATCTTAAATCGTGATCTTGATATCCGGACTTTGCTAGGTCGGATGAAAGCATGCCTGCTCAGTGTCTTATCTCCAGGTTTAAAATATATGTCATTCA